ATGCGTCTCATGTCATGGCCATTTTGCACAAAAAATATATTATTTGAAAACGGACTGAGGGAATGATTTGAAGTTGTCCGTTATAATTAGCTCTTAGTTAATAGTCCAGACCTATATCAAATGGTGCTTGCCTTATAGTCTCGGAAAAATATATCCCGAAAACCCTCTGTGGAGTTCCTTAAATGGTTGACAGTAAATAGTATCTAGCGAAGACACCATTCAAAAGTTTACCATAGCAATGAGTAAATGTTGAATACTGCTTAAGCCGGTGCCAGGGAGTGTGGCCGGTAGTTATTTAGCATTTATCACTACTGTCCATGGCTCTAATCAAACCGAGATTGCAACATTTTCAATTCTGCTGTTTTTGGCGTTCTTCAGCGGTTCCTTTTTTTTTTAATGGGACATGTGAAAGATGTTTGTCTAGTTGCATCACCTCATACTTACATGTAATTGTATAAATAGGACGAGCTGTTATTCGGTTAAATACTAATTATGTTATTGTGAACATAAAAGAGTTTTTTATGCATTACTATTATGACACAACTACAATATCGTGGAACGGTGTTCATTTATCAATCCCCTATCTCGTTAATATAGAGACAGAAAATTTATATTGTTTTCTCATTTTTTTTCCTTTCCACCATTATGAATCATATGTATGGCTATAAGTATGTAAGTACTATTTAATGCTAATAAAATGCATGTTATGTTACGTTATATTCCGATATAACTGGGAAATATGGGTCTGAAATGCGCCGCGCGTGCGTGCCGTGCATCGTTGAATAAGCACTGGCGCGACAAATTATCAAACCCAAAATATTACTCAAATTAACTAATTGAATAAGTCTTCGCGGTTAAGGTAAACGTACATCTGACTTATTACTATTACTCAATACGGGTATATAATCATCACGTAATTCACGTGTTTGACAAACTTTGAACAAACACATTAATCTAAGTAGGAAGATTTGCCGGCGTGCTCGTGATTACCAGACTGGCTTTAGTCTGGATTTATCCTTTGTCAGGATTTTGGCTTCATGATTTTTATCCTTTTTTTTATCCGTTTGTACTACCAATAAATTGTTTTCTAAAACAGACAATGATTATCTATCTATATTATTTTATATTATTGATTGGCGTGATAGATTTAAATTTTAAGAAAAATAATTGCTTATAACGCTTTTGTCATTTTTTTTCGAAGGTTGATTTTTACTTTCGAGCTATCACCAGTGATAACATAGATTGTATGTAAGCCCTATAATCGTGTAGGAAAATTAGGATTTTATATTTAACAATACAACATTATCATAGCAACGTTACATAAAATGCAAAATAATAGTTTTAAATGCTTGATATTGAATTATTCTAGATAGTCTATGAACTAATTTGAATGAATGTTATTTTACACCTGACCAGACTATGTAATTTGTGTTTCTTGTAGATTATTTGCACTTAAACATGATAGAAGATTAACGCTTGCAGTAACTTCACAGTTATACATGTAAAAACAGCGTTAATGTATATAAAAATTCAATTAACGGTTTTTCATTTCGTTCTCTAGGCCCGTCTCCGTCGTGTTAATGAAAATTCTATACTTTAACATAACAACCACTCTGCTAGAATAAAAGGAACCGAAACACCCTTTAAAATTGCTAAACATACAAAACGGCTAGCTTTCACACGTGCTTATTTAGCAATTGTCTGGATTGTGCATTTTTTTTAAACGTTATCAATTAACAAAAATGCCGCGGACTTTTGAAGAAATTTCGGCAATTAACACGTTTCTGTTGATTCGAAGATAACTTTAATGGGTGTAAAATACCACAAAACGGGAATATCAGATCGAATGAAAGATAAGCTAAAAAGTTGCCAAAACATTATAGATTTTTAATATGATCATTAATAAATCACTTTACAATTAATATTACAAGTGAAGTGAATTACTTAAATAAATCGACGAAGTCTTAGTCAAAGTTACATACAAGAAAAGTCATGACCTTTTGGGAAAAAAAATTAAAAAAAATTCTGTAAAGATTATCATATTTTTGAGAAAGAATTAAAAAACCTCTCTGCATGTTTCCCAATTAAAATTGCACCCCTGGGTCTAAGGGTCGAGTCTTTAAGTAATGTTTGGTTAATTCTAATCTTGTTGTCTTATTCTGGTGTTGGCATAAACCCCTGCCTGACACTAAAATTGTCAAACATGCTTCTATCTGAACAGATGATTGTTTATGGGTAGATTTAGATAAGGGGGAGACAATCTTACAGAGGCGGGGATTTTCTTGTATTTTGACATTTAGGATCAATGCCAGTGAATTGTAGTAGGATGTGGCTATCATAAATCCATGTCAGAGATAATACTTTAATAACGTGAAGATTAATAGGCCGATATCATCCCGTATCTTCCCGTTGATCTCTAATCTCGCGAGATTATCACCCCATGAATCTATCCTTCGGAATAAGGCGGCATTGTCGTCTGAAGATGCCAATAAACGCTTTCAATGTATTATTACGTAATGTATGTAAGTATGACAGGTAATGTTGTTGTTGTACCGTTACATTTGGAATAATTATTTGTTAACAATATTGATGATATGATAAGTAAAGAAGGCAGGGGGTTTTGTGTCAGTTCCATGGCCCCTTCAAATTATTCCTTTGCATGTAACATGTATGAACCGTTAATGTAAAGGGAAGACAATCGACTTCCATATATGGGCATAATTTTATCATCTAAATTAAGTAGTCTCCCTTAGTCCATGCTGTATAAAGTAGTATGCACTTTTATACTAGTCCATGCTGTATAGATTGTATAAGTAGTATGCACTTTTATAATCGTATACTTCAGTGTTTTCTTTCGTTTTAATGTATCAGTTATTTATTTGATTAGCTAAACGACTCCTTAGTGCATTACTTGAAACAACGTATATATAACTGCACAGTGGAAGCAATTGCCAAGATTGTATATTATAAGAAGCCTATACATCATAAGTTTTTGCTTTCTATTACCATGGTATTGTATTTTTTTTTTACTTGGAGACTATTTTACGCAAACGATAATAATTACTACAGACACACAATGCAAAATATATTTTTAAGATATTTATAACATTTTCTAAAAGTATAGCGTAAAGAAAGACAGAAAAGGGGGACAACTTCTGGTGGCTTACATAGTGTTGTTATTTTCTCGAATATTCTAGTTTTAAACTAGAGTTGTGTCCCTTAGATCGTTATGACAAAAAAGCAGCGAAATCACTAACAACGCGACCTTTCCCATGCTCTAAGAATGATACAAAGCGCGTGTAACATTAAACTCGCTAGAAATACCATCATTTATGTTCTCACTTGTCGGTATTGTTTATAATGATTAATACCATCTGGCCCTTTGTCTAATTGTACTTTTAATCAAATATTATGTGTCTTAATTTTCTTTCTCTCAATGCGATTTAGATCGAGAGATGAAGGCTTCTTCGAAAAAGGAGTTGTGCCTTCTAAATGTGACGAAATTAATTAAGATAGGTGACAAATTCCCATGAATTAGCTTGTAATGATTTCACTGCATTCAATTTAACTGAGATAAGAATCTCGGTATCTTAACATAGTAATTTATGGCCTCCATATGTTCATATACGTACATAAATTTAAAGATTTAAATAAAAAAAATTTAATCATACTTAAGTGATGACTAGCGAATTAAATCATTTTTTAAGTAAATGGCCAGTTATTTCAATTACACAAACATATATAACGATATATCTAATCAAATACATGGAGGTGTCGAAAAAATTCAAAACCTGTGTTTTTGACGTCTGACAATTGCGACACTGGCGTACTGACAGTTTAAAAATGAATTAATTTTCAAATACCAAATTCATTATTTAAATATGATAACGTATTACTAGTCCCTTATACATGCATCCCACGCGAGAATTTTGACTGTAACTGTCATACGTGACATATTTTGATCATCAAATGATGTGAATTCATTAGTTACGGTGAATAATTGCATGTTTAATGAAAACTAAATGCTGTCATACCGGGCGCACATCCGGCTTTACTTCAATACAGTCGTTCAATTTCAGAAATATGCAACAGAGTCAATACAATTAACAACAATTTAAAAGATAGGGCAAGAAAAAAAGAAAATTTTGGGGTTATTTTTTCTGCTTTTTCTATCTTTCTTTTACCTCTTTTCAATATTCTGTCCAACGATAATTTCATAAGATGCCGTTATTTAAATCAATTATTTTTATAAAGTACATTCAAAACATCCACGAAACAAGCATTTAACGAATGAAAGTCGGTCAATGGACCCTTGTTTACAAATATACCATTTCTACAGGGCTATTTCACAATACAGAAGTTGTTTACTACATTTCGAGACCCCCGAAATACAGGGTTTCGATTTGAATACACATGGCATGGTGACCTCGCTTTTTGTATGATTAACGAACACGTGGGGTTGTTTACTAGCTATCTTTGGCGGGAAAATCTACCCAGTGAAAAATTGCCTGGATTTCCACGTGGCTTTTCATTTATTTCGTAACGGAAACGTTTATTAAATGTTAGTAATACCATTTTCTAGCAAAGTATTAATTTATATGTTTTATTTTTGCGTAAAGAAAAGAAATTAACTCCGAGGTCACGTATAATTACAAACGAGGACAGCAGAGATGGAGTTTTACATTATTTCAACGTCTTCCTTTTCAATAATTTGATAAAATTGAAAACCAAAATGTGTATTTTCATATAAATTTATCTGAAATCAACATTTTACAATAATTCAGTGTAATTCCCTTTCCTAATTTTACTTTAATTCAACATGTGTAAAATACGTACATGTACGTTGAAACTGTTAAACTGAAAACGCACAGTTACAACTATGGCCTGATTAGCCAATCAGAACGCGCGCTCTGTGATATCGGTTTGATTGACAGTTCATGAGACCTCGATTTGCGCTGTCGGCGAAGTAAACAAGTTTATGCTCCGCCTACTCTCTCCCGAGATTTTATAATACGGGAGAGTTGTGTGTGGAAAGTCAGTTGTAGTGCGAAGTTTACATGTTAAAGACGGATACACGAATTCATACAAAATTGTTTATATCTGAAGTTGACATCATGTCTACGACTTCTTTCTATGATGTCGGGGATGTTATATTACAGGTATGTTGATAAACAATGTTTCGTAAATGAATGAACTTATTTTGTTTGAAATGATTTTTGTCGGTGATATTTTCGGGAGCACGTGGCTCCTTAATTTTGTATTTTGTGATACTTTGATGCATATTGTGAAATTATTTATGCTGAATATTTTCATATGTTAAATATTTGTTAATTTATTTTTTCAGAATATGAAGTTAAATCAGTTGAGACAACAACAGCAAAATCAAAGTGCTGAACGAAGGAATACTATTGGTGCACCAGTGAATATTCAACGGAATAGAAATTTCTCTATTGGAAATTTTACTCCAGTGACAGGGAATAACGTTACACCTGTGATTCCTATGGATAATCAGAATGGATTGAATGATCATAGAAAATTGGATAGATCTTACAGTGAGCCTTGTGATAGAACAATGAATAACAATACAAACTTGAACACTCAGCAGCCTCAAAAACAACCTGCTGTGAATTCCAGTAGATATAAAACCGAACTTTGTCGTCCATTTGAAGAAAGTGGTCACTGTAAATACGCGGACAAGTGCCAATTTGCTCATGGAGCACACGAACTTAAACAATTACAGAGGCATCCAAAATACAAAACTGAACTCTGTCGCACATTCCATTCAAAGGGATTTTGCCCTTATGGTCCTAGATGCAATTTTGTTCACAATGACGACGTAGGCAGAAATGAAAAGAACAATCACGTTTCAACAACACAGGTACAGGTTCAGCAACAACCAGCTACGCAGTATTTCCAACACATCTCGCCACCTGGGTTCAGTCAATCTCCGCCACCTATGGTTCAACGTCCAACCACCATCAATTTCAATTCTAGTTACAACGGTTCTTTGGGCTCTTCAGCCGATTCATCACCTCCTTCAAGTGTGGGTAGCGAAAGTCCATCTCTTAGCCCAGTGTTTTTTGGTGAGGACATTCAAATGTTAAATGCTGGATATTTACCTATGAACAACGGGCTCAATTTTGACAATTCTACAAGCAGTAATGTGTTCACTATGCCAGAAATGGCATCATTAGATCTCACTCCTTTAAACATTCAAACACAATTGAATGCTGATTTGGGACTGTTAACTCAGCAATTCAATGCTTTGGTAAATTTGAACAATCATAGCAACAGTAACGAAAAAAGTTCTGCATTTGACGAATGGGATTCTACCCTTTTCACTACCCAGCCACCAGCGTCACCAGACTCCATTTCAGGGGAGAGCGTGGGAAGTGCGAGCAGTTTTGGTACTAGTAACACTTTTTCAACATGTGGTTCACCAATGGAGTCAGGAAAGAACTTTAGATTACCTGTATTCAATCATATTTCCCAGGATTAGATAAAAACATTGTGATTTATTCAATTTTGCCTTACTGGATTGGATAACTGTTGAAAATGTAAAATTTTCAAGTTTTATACTAAGAAAACTGGAGGTTGGCTTAAGTTATGTACTGTTAATACAAACCATGTTACTATATTGTTTCAAGTATGTTACATGTACACAAAATGGTAATTTTGGTATTTTTAATTAAATTTTGAATTTATTGTGATATTTTAGCAGTAAGGTCATGATTGCAGTGAACCTCCAAATTTTCTTTAAAAAGTTGATCGTTTATGAAATGTTTTTCATTCCTGTTTTATATATTTATTTTTTGAGCGATACCGACTTCAGGCGAAGTCTTGAATTTTGACAAATTGTGGTAAATTGTAGCTTTATAGTAAACTACACATCCACAAATTTTAGTATTAAAGTATTATTATTTTCCCAGGGCAATTGTAGTTTTTTTTACTTGGAAGTGCCTATAATGTTATTGTGTAATTTTTCAGGTACATTGTGTGCTAATCTACACTGTTCATGTAATACTTGCATTCATCAACTGTTTAACTGCTTTTCATTTGAGAAAATATTTATTGTAATGATCATGCATTTAAATTATTCTCTCATTTTATTTGTCTTCAAATTGTAAGCTCATCTTTTTTCTCATTGAATCAAGTTCATCGAATCAAGTTTTGTTTAATTCACATTGAATCGAGTTATGTTCAAATATTATCTTTGTTAAATTATTGAAAAATTATCAAAAAAAAAATCCAAAGAGTTTGGGAACATATTTTGTCATTTTGCAATTATCCATTACTCATCGCACTGTTAATATCCATGGATCATGTTATTTATATTTAACGAAAACAAAATATCCAGGTTTGGATGTACAATTTATCATTTTTGAAAAAAAAATATGTTATAAAAAAAATAAAATATATTTTCAAAGCTTACGTTATGTGCTGTTGTTTATTTGTCAGTGGTGAAAAGGGTAAATAAAAGTTGTCCAGTATTGAGACACTTCTACGAGATGGTTAAATTGTACATTAAAAATAAATCCCAGGTCTATTCAACAAATAATGTGCAATTTAAACAACTTGTAGTTTTGCCTCTTAAATACTTGGCCAAGTTTCAATGTGTTATTGAATATGACCTCGGGGACTGTGGTACAGATAAAATGGTTATATAGAGGTTTTGTAACTGTTCTACAGTTAAGTTAAATGTTCATCGAATTGAAATTTTAAGCAAGTTGCTTATAATACTGATAAAAAGATGAAGTACTTCTTTTAATGAAACCCTACATGTTGATAGTGTGAAATATGTTAGGTTAGAAGTGAAGGTATAAATTGAACTTGGTCTTTCCAGAATTTTGTATGAATTACAAATTTAGTCCCTTGAAATCATCTTTATTACCACCTGTTATATTTATTTAGATATTTATTTGAAACAATACAAATGCACTGCTATAAAGCAAGAATTTAAAAGATGATAAACGTATATGCTGTGCCTAATCGGCCCACTTGTTTAAATTTACAGAGTAACTTCAGTGAACAAACAGCTTGCCTTATCACAAATAGATTAACCTAGATACCAACCTGGTCTTGATATAAATGCCTGTCAATTTAGTTTCCTAAAGCTATTAAAAGCTGGCTAGTTATAGTTGAAAACATCATCTCGTGAAAAACTTGAAGTAAACCAGGACTTAAACATCTCATGCTGCAGATCAGCAATTTGGCTGCGTTTCCAAAACATGTAGATTTGTTTGTAAAATAGCAGGTTCCTCCAATATTGATAATTTGATCCAATTATCTACGCTATCAACCTGTTGTTTGTGACCCCTGACTAAAGGGTCAGACGTGAGACTAGCAGATAAAGTGCGGTGGGTAATACCTGTGAATCTTAACGTTCATACAAATAATATACACACTGCACTAAAATCAGTTATTCATTTTAATAGCCCCCCCCCAAAAATCAACTTGCGAATATTGAAACAGGTGGTTGTTCTTTTTTTACACGATACCAAGGTAACACGTGCCCACGTGCATGTATACATGTGCAATAAATTTGAAACGATGTACAGCGTTCTGACGAACACACGAAGATGTATACACATGTGTCTTTTTGTCAAAATTGGGGCCCTATTATTTTGTTGAAAGTAAGGATATTTTATCAACCGTTGCGGTACATTTTTAGTGTCCTGAAGAAATAACAATATATGCGCATGTATATGTGCACAAAATGTCGGGAGATAGCCAGAAATAGAGGAAGAAAACTGAATAATTAAATCGCAATAAAATGTGTGCGGTTTTGTGGTTCACATGCTTTTGTCGCGCCATTCATTGTAATATTCAAGATTAATAAAAGGTGATTTTTACACGGTCGTCAACACATTTTATTTAAAAACATATTATAAACCGTCTTTTTTGCCTATTATACGGAGTCGTAATACTAGATCAAGGAGTAATGGCTTATGAAATGGTAGGATATAAGGGGACCATCATTTGTTTATTACATAGCTCTACATTACTAACAGCAGTCAGTAAAATTTTGTTTTGACCATTTTAATTTTTTTTACCCAACTCGTTTATAAATGCGGTAACATCGTGTCGAAAAAGAATATTTTGCTGTTTACTAGCGGGTATAATTGTAGTCAAACGGTAAAGAGATATCAAAATGCATGTTTTTTTTTAAGCGGAGCTGTTAAAAATCGATACGAAGCCCGGCGTTGTCTCGCCTTACTAGTCTCGCCTGATTTTTTCGCGCGCTTTTATCGGTAAAGTGTACGTACCACGAGGTAGATGAAAACTGTAACTTTGACGATTTATGTAGAAAATATTAATGAAATAAATCGGCACAATCTGCTTCACAAAAAAGTCGAATTGTCATTCCAAGTTCCCTTTGATTTAAGACAATATTTTGAATAAAGTAACCGGCCAGATTCATCTTTAGAGCTATATAGTCAAAATTGTAAATTGTTTAGCAAACTTTGCATTTTTATAAAGAGGGAAATTAAGCTTGACTGTAGAAGCTACCTTACTCAATTATTAACGTTTTCTACATAAGCTTTGAGTCGTTATCATTCACAGTAGCTTAGATCTAGGGCTACATGTATTTTCGGACAAAATAACTAAATGAATGAACTTGATAACTTAAATCAAGTTGTTCCAGTTCCAATTAGATTTTTCAATTAGATCTTTATCTCTTTTTAATTCAGGTGGGTTTAAATAATCATGCATGATTTTAAAAATCATAAATTGTATTATACTCGACTTAAATTCTTCGACGAATCAAAACACAAGTTTATCATTCATTCTATCGAGATGACACCGAGTTAATTCATGAACAACAGCTGGCCCCACATCCTCTGTGACGTCATTCATTGACTCTTGGTACTGAATGACTAAGGCGCGTGCTTTCATGAATGAGCGAGCGACTCATTGATCTATGACGTCATAAAGGTGATGACGTTATTCATTGACAAATTTTGAGACAAGAACTAATTCAAATTTTGTATCAAGTGTTACGTCATTGACATTGTCTGAAATCCAGAACTATTCAGCATATTTCATTTTCAAATCTCTTGGGGTTTATTTATCCCTGGAAATTTTGAACTTGTAAATCTATCAGGAAAATGACCTTATTGGGACAATGAAAATGGTCTTGTAACATGTATGTGTGAATGCTAGCTGATAGTGATAAAATACTAGGCTTTTCACTAATAAGAATAACAAATGCTGATTCTTTAAACAAACAACGCCGTCTTTTATAAAGCCAGTTTTATTTACCTATGTAGACAAAGACCCGTTACTTTGATGTTTATTTGCCAAGTTTACGCAGTATGACGTAATTAACTATAAGTTGGCAAATTTTCTTTTCTGTTTGTAGTCTTTAGTTACTGAAATAGTAAAAACATGCATGCGGCCTTATGTGTATACAGTATTTGCTTATATATTCCATCTAAATAAAGTAGTCAAACACAGAGAATAAAGAAAAAAATGTGAAGAATATCAAGGTGTCCATTTTCTTGGACACTTAACAAAGCAAGTAAAATCTTGCCAACTCAGCATATTTGGGGATCATGAAATCTGTGGACTAGTTATGACTCGAGTAAGTTGGGCATCGGGTTAGAATATTCGATGCTTCAGACATTCTGTAGGCCCTTTTAAAATTACTAGTAGAACTAGTTACAATTATATAATCACATATCAAAATGGCGACTTGGAAGAAATTATTGAAAGCATGTTGAGTTAGGATATATATACGTCCTCGCACAGAAACTCTCCAAACTGATATGAAGAAAGCATTGTCAGTATATATACAAAGTATTATTTACTTCCTACATGATCGTTGGTTAAAGCAGCATGCCCCCAGATTCATCCTAATTTTCATGAAAATGTTGAAAATGTATTTAGAAATAAAACATTGTGAAATGACCAAAGAAGGTAATTTTCAGGTTGCAAAAGGGCACTTATATTATGTAAACAGACCATGTCCCTAAATTACTAAAAAAAATAGGTCGAGATGTGCAAAAATACCCCCATTAATTACGACGTTAGTCAGTCAGTAGAAATTAATATGGTGATAAATACTGCAAAATTAGTCTTTAATCGCACAAGACATTTAAATGTCATGATGAATCTGGAATTAATATTTTTTCTTTTCTTAAAATCTTTGAACATTTTCTCGAGTTTTATTTTCTTGAAATATTTGGGCTCACCTGGAACAGGTATATACATGTATTATATATATATTATATACATAGATCTACCAGTCTGGAGGCATGCAGCTTTAGAGTCTATATATGAAAATGCTTTGGTCATCAAAACGACAGAAGCATACATATGTCAGTTTAGTTCGGTGTGTCATATATTTTCATTAGATAAATTAACAAGGGAAAATGCCCGGCGACCGCAGCTAAAATGGCGTTTTTATCTGTCCACTCAGATAAGCCGTTGGCCAGACTAAATAACTATACAGTTTTGTCATACATGTTATCAATGTTCAGATAGATATGCGGACATTGTTTTTATGTACAAATTCCTGAGGCAAGTTGACCAGGTCGGACAAATCCAACTTGTTTACAACACTTGTTATTAACGATTTTAAGTACTATATCTCGCTACGTTAGAAACATGCTTTATAACATTTCAAAATATACCCTATTACTAAAACGTTGGAATTCAATCATAACAACATAACTGTTGTTCATTTGTTGTTGTTTGTGGGTGGGTGGGTTTTTGTGTTTTTTGTTGGTGTTGTTCCGGTATTCCGGTATTAAAAGGTCCCATCTTCCATGCACACAATGCATACACTGTAAATGAGGAGAACACCGGACGCGTTCACACTTGTTCAATTTTGGAACATTGCGCGTTTATATTTTGAATGCCTGTGTTCAGAAAAGGAGTTCTATTTACGAGTTGAACACTTATCATTTGAACGTCAGTGTTCAATGATAGTCCTTCTGACTAGACAACATGAAAGATTTTGAGTTTTTGACTACTTGGGTAAGTTTTTTGGTCAATATATTGTCAGTTGGGGTTACATCTACGCAATATAACAAGTAATGGTGCTTCAATAATTAAAACATTTTAAAGTGGAACATGATATGAACAGTAGCGTTCATCAAATGTTCTAATTGAGAACGTTTCTAAAAATAGATTTGTGACAATTTCTGACGTCATTCAAGTACCACAACAACAACAACAACAAGTAAGCGTTGGCGAAACGCAAGCTGAACACTTTACAGTAACAATGACTCAAATCGAAGAAAAAAACGGTATTAACTTTTACTTCTTTAGCATTCCTTTTATCGATAGATCTAATTATTTTATTTTTCTGAAAAGAACTAAATCGTCATATTGTTGTAGTTATTAACGTGTCTCCTTATATACAAGGAGAAGATCTATGTGATATTGTAGATTTTTTCTGAGTAGTCGGGGTTAGATCTATTTAA